AGTTTTTAAAATTACTTTCACAGAGGTGATTGGTTCTTACCCAATATTAGAACCCAGTTTTTCTGCTTAGGCAAAATGTGTTTCTTTATTAAGGAATTTGTTTTAAATAGACCAAAACATAACTAACATTCCAGATATATTTTTCTTCACACTTAGAAGTAGCTGAAGTGGACAGAAATACCAATTTTGTTCAGTCATATTTGATAACAGAACAAGAAGTTGGGTAGCGCAAATGTAATTCAAGAATGTCCAAGTACAGAATTACTGCAATTTAGCTTTGTGGTCTTAATTGGCTTTATTTTGTATTCTAGTGCAACACTTAACTGTAACATGGAGTAAGTGTTCCAATGGGCTGAGGCAGAGAAAGAGTGAAGAAAGCACAAACAAAACCAAGAATCCATGGGTCAAGTTAAAGTCCTTTAGCAGGTGGGGACAAAGGCAAAAGAACAGAAAAACAACTGATTAGCTAGCATCAGGTTATTTCAGGTTACTTCTTTTATGGAAGAATTAAAGCAGAAGGAACTTCATTCTGATCAACAACTTACTTTCAGCTTGGAACTTGGGCTTGAGTGACTCCATTTTTATTTATAGCCTCTCTATGAGACCCTAAGTTAGGGAGCTTCATCTGAAACAGTGAACTCCTATATCTTTGATTTAACAAGTATAACTAGTCAAAGATTAATTTCTTGGCCTTAGCAGCTAAGGTAAAGTTATCTACTGTGTACCTTTCTGAGATTACTGTCCCTGGACTTTGCACAGAATTACCAATTCTGGTTGAATTTACACTGTGTGCCTGCATGAGAAGGAATGGGAAAGAAGGTTTATAGAGTATCTATTATTTGCTAAGAACCTGATTGACACTTCCCAAGACTGTCTTGTGATGGAGGTATAAACACCTGCATTTTAAAAGGAGGCTTGGAAAGGTTACTTACATGCCATAAGCAAGGGTGGAGCCCAGAGGAAAGGTGAGTGTCAGACTCCAAAGTCAGGCTCTTTCCACTGAACCACACTGCAAACCCAAACCTGGACGTAGGCTGGAGTTCAAAGTTGGCTGGGAAGGTTTGCAGTGAGGTATCAAAATGTTAAAGTTGATTTAATAATTTAACAACTAGTAGCAACTAATTTCAATTCAGAAGAATAAATAGGAGTTTATTTGGGTAAGCTGGAGACATGATGAAAATCTTAAAATATTTTTAAAAAGGTAAAGTCATGACTCCTTTGCCAGTATAAAAATAAACATGTGTTAAAGGCTCATTAGTGAGGAAACAAGTAAGGTTGTTACAGTCAGACAAGGAGAATCCAAATAATGGATACAGTTTTAGAACAGGAATATTGAATATATGTAATGCAATATAGATTGGTTTTCATCTTCTAAGGTCTTCTTCAATTTCTTTCTTCATTGTTCTATGGTTTTCAATGTGGACATCTTTCACCTCTTTGGTTAGATGATTTATTCCCAAGCAATAATTCAATAATTTCTTTCTTTCTTTCTTTCTTTCTTTCTTTCTTTCTTTCTTTCTTTCTTTCTTTCTTTCTTTCTGTTTTTGTTTTGTTTTTTGATGCTATAGGAAAACTATTGATTTTTGTATATTGGTCTTGTATCCTGCTACTTTGCTGAATTTGTTCATCAGCTCTAGAAGTATTCTGGTGGAACATTTTGGATTTTCTTAGAAAGTATTGCATGTTGTCAGCAACAGAAAATTTGCCTTCTTCTCTTCCTCTTTGTATCCCATTGATTTCCTTCTCTTGCCTGATTGCTCTAGCTAGAGTTTCGATAACTATATGAATAGGAATAGTTAGAGTAAATGTCCTTGTCTTGTTTCTGATTTGAGAGGAAATGCTTTCAGTTTTTCTCTGCTCAATATGATATTAGCTTTGGATTTGTCATATATAGCCTTTATGACACTGAGGTATGTTTCTTCTATCCGTACATTTTCAGTGTTTTTTACATCAATAGGTGCTGGATTTTGTCAAAGGCTTTTTTCTCCATCTATTGAGATGATTTATGATTTTTGTCCTTGCTTCTATTCATGTGATGAATTGCATTTATTAATTTGATAGGTTGAAACAACCTTGCATCACTGGAATGAAACCTACTTGATCAGGTTGTGCAATCTTCTTAATGTGCTTTTGAATGCAGATTGCTAATATTTTATTGAGATTTTTTTCTTCTGTGTTCATCAAGGATATTGGTCTGTAATTTTCTTTCCTTGATGTGTCATGATGAGCAAGAAAAGAGAGGGTGAGAGTGTACCACAGTGTTGAAGATGGTAAGAGAAACAGAACGGATAGGTACAATTAGTACAGGATTTTACATACTTAAAAAAAAAAAAAAAAGCCAGGGTTAAAGGCTACAGAGATCTTATGATGTTCCTGTCACGTAAAATCTCTTAGGATGGTTTGATGGAACCTCCCAGGCTGGAAAAGCACCTTGTGTTCGGAGTGGAATGGCTTATACCAGGGGCCAGCTGCTGGTAAGCTTGCCCTCCCTTGGGCACGATGCCCAATTGAATCTTGACTAAGGAGAATGCCCTGCACTTCTGGTGCAGCGAGTATGCGCTCACTTGCTGTTTCCCCAGGGCGCACAGCCAGCGCGCAGGACCCTGTTCGCCCCAGCACCCTACTTCTTCACAGTTGCAGCCTCCGCACGCCACAGGTGTCACTGTGGGTCTGAGTCTCCAGGGCTTAATCTCCGAGAGGGCGGCCACGGGTGTCTTGCTGTAGGCGGGAGTGTTAAAGTCCTCTGCTTAGGTAGATGTCCTGCTTCATGAGTCTCAGTGAGTACAGAGGGGCGCAATGGCTCTGGGAGTCCCGGGAGAATTTCCCCCAGCTCTGGACCTTCCAAACTGCCAGACTGTGGCTGGTGCACTGGGAAATGGTCAGACCCAAGGCCACCCTACTCTATCATCCAGCCTGTTGCAGTCCAGAGCTGCCAGCAGGGCTTGGCCAGACAGTTGTTCCTGGGCAGATTTGGGGGCTGAGGAGAAACAAGAAGGGGGAGGGGGGGTAGAGATGGAGACTGTTGAACCTTGAAGATGTTGTTGAAAACAGGATCTTCAACATCGTGGTGGAGACCTTGCTCCTTCTTGCACACATAGGTGGATCCCGGTCCTAGCTCTCACCCTCTCCTGCGGGAAGTGCAGTCTGGTCCCGAGGCACTAGTCAGGCGGGTTTGTGGCACCCTATTTAAATCTTCTTTCGCTCAGACTCAGTGTCTGTCTAATGGTCATGTCGAGAAAGTTCTGGAGACCTTTGTGATCCTTTCTCCCCACCCCCTGCACTCAGGAAAGGTCTTCCCCCTCCCCCACCAAGCATCCAGGTCTCCTCCGTGTAGCTGTAGAATCTGTTTTTTTCCTTTGGGATTCCAAAAGAGGGTGGTTGCTGAAGGGCGTGGACTCAACCTTGGAAAAGGGGTGGGAGATCTTGCTGTGACAGGTCAGTTCTGAAGGAGGAGGAAAGGCTCCTGACAGAGGAAGAAGGGGCATTGTGACTGGGATTTGCAGCAGCTGGCAGCTGGAAAGAGCAGGAGTTCACTTTGAAGTCAGGACACCAATTCTGATTACGGAGAGAGAGAAATTTAGCGCACAGGAGGAACAGGTAACCCATTCTCACTGAATTAATTTAAAGAGTGTTCTACTTGGCCAGACTTGCTAGACTTGTTAGCCTGTCCTAGCTTTGATGTATGGGCACTGTTTCCAATCTAAACTTTCTGGGACAGACCCAGATTCAAAGATCTTGCTCTGTTTTGTGATTATGTAGAAGTCTTGCCCTGTGCTGAAATTTGAGATTAACCTTCATAGTTGTTCCAGTAGCGAAAGTCCAAGTTGAGAGAGTTGTGTAGGGGGAAAGGGTGCATTTGCTTAAAATGAGGAGTGAGTCACATGTGGTATAGATACAGACTTTAAGTTTAATTGTTTCTAATTGTATATATCCATGTAACTCTACCCCATCAAAACATAGACGATTTAATCAAACCAAAAGTTTCCCTCTTCAGTCAGTGACCCCCAATCTCAGAAATGATAATTCTGATATCAGCATAAAGTACTGTGGTTTTGTCTGGAGACTTGATACAAATATAATCATACAGCTTGTCTTTTTTGTGTCTGGGTTCTTTTAGGAAGAATGGTGTTTAACATTCATTTGTTCTGCTCCGTGTATTAAATAATCTTTGTTGAGGTATGATTTGCAAATAATAAACTGTACATTATAAGCATGCAGCATGTGACTTTGGACAGCAGTTTGTAACCCTCTCTACAATCAAATACAGAGCATTTTATCACCTCCAAAAGTGCCTTGTGCTCTTTTGCAATCAGTTCTTTCCTACCTCTTACTCCAGGCAAAAACTGATCATAGATTAGTTTTATTTGCTTTAGGACTTTATGTACATTTTTGTGTCTGGATTCTTTGGGACAATATCCTGTTTTCAATATTCACCCAAGTTTTTGAAGTAGTGCACTGTTTTTTTTTTTATTGCTCATTGCTATTAGTTGTTAATATACACCATATTGGGTACATTCCCCATTTAATGAACACTTCAGTTGCTTCTTGTTTTTTTGCTGTTGTGAATATACGAATTTTCTTGGATAGACTGCAAATAATTTTCCAAAGAGTTGTTTACCATTTTACATTCCCACAAGCAGTGTATACAAATTCAGTGGCTCAAAGTCTTTGCCAACATTTGGTTGCTTGTCTTTTTGTGCTTAGCCATTCTAGTGGTTGTGAGATGTTCTCATCATTTTACCTTGTGATTCCTGATAATTCACTATATTTTGTGAAGCATTAAGATCTTTTGCTCATCTTTTATTGTTGAATTTTAGGAATTCATTATTTATTTGGACACAGTTCTTTTGTCTAATGTCAGCACTAAGTTTTAAGTGTGCACCTTCCCTTAACATGTTTTAAAGGGTATCTCTGGATGAATAGCTGTGAAATCCAATTGATAGCGTAGTCCTGTCTCTCCCTCCCTCCCTCCCTCCCCCCCCCCTTCTTTTATGATTCATTCTTTAAATTGCCTGGATTACTAACCCAGGCCTCCTCCAGCAACTTGCCTTGAGTTAAGCAGACTGCAACTCTGCTTTATTTGGATGTTTTATTCAAAATTAAATTCTCTATTTTAAATAATAAGATGATAAAAGGCATAATTGTTGTTATACTCTGCTATCAGCTAAAAGCAAATATTTTTATTTTTAGTAATCAGACTTTTAGTTTGCTTCTGTCTGATGAGAGGCTTGACTGGCAGTATGGAAAGCTGAAAATGTGGACTCCTTAGAAAATGTAACTACTAGGAAAAATGCAGTGTTTGGTCATCTTCCCAGGTTTCTCTCACAAAGCTGAAACTCTTGGAAGTTCCTGAGTGGTAGGAATGTTTGTGTTTTTCACAATGACCCTTGGATAACACTGGATCTCTGCTAATGAGCTTATCTTAGAGTGAGGCCCCTAGAACTAGTCACTGGGGAGACCCAGTGATTACAGATTAGAGGGCTTGAATACCAGGAAGTGGGGGTGGGGGCGGCTGGAGATCAAGGTCTGAAAACCCTTGAACCATAAGCATGGAAGAGCTGGTCTGCTGGACACACAGATGCTGGTGGGCTGGCACCCTTGTAGGGAAGCACTGGCGCTCCATGGCCCCCATACCTCCTCCTGTCGTCCATCCTTCATCTCACTGTTCATTTATGTCCTTCGAAATAGCCCTTATAAAAAGCCAGCAAACCATCAGGAACAGTGGCACATGCCTGTAATCTCAGTGACTCCGGAGGTAGAGGCAGGAAGATGGTGAGTTCCAGGCCAGCCTGAGCAATTTAATAAGACCCTGTCTCAAAATAAAAAGAAAAATGAAAAGGGCTGGGATGTAGCTTAGTGGTAGAGCACCCCTGGGTTCAATCCCCAGTACCAGGGAAGCAGGGGCAGGCAGTAAATATGTTCAGGGGAGTTCTTGGAACCATCACAGAAAATTAACTGAACTCAAGAAGGGAGTAGTGGGAACCCAGTTTATAGCCAGTCTGTCAGAGGTATAGATGACAGCCTACTACTTGCAGCTCAGTGGGACTGAGTCCTTAACCTGGGGAATCGGACGCTATCTACTTTCTCCAGGTGGACAGCCTCAGGACTGGGTTGAATCAGCAGACACCCAGTTGGTGTCCAAAGTGTGCCTGGTGTGAGGGGAACACCTGCCACACCTATGGTCACAGCATGATTCTGTCCTGTGTGCAGAAGGCAATAAAACAGCTGGCTTTTCCTTCGGAACACACTAAGGCTCCTTGTGTCTTGGGACAAGTGACATCTTTTGCATATGTCTGTGACTCAGCTGCCCAAACCCTTTGGAATTTTGAGGCTGTAAGATTATTATTTTAAATGATCAAGCTGTTGCTCTCATTTGACTGCAGTAAAGCTCTGGGGAGGAATGTGAAGATTGGGTGCCCTGTCAGGCACCCTGTCTCAGAGGGCTAGAGTGATTAGTGCAGAAGGGTTGGACTGGAATTGGGTGGAGACTCGGGATTCTAGACAGTTTCCTTGAACGTTTTTGGCATCTGGGTTGATTCTGACAATGTCTTCTAAGCAAACATGGGAGGGGATTTGAAGAAGAGATTCCTTTCCACTGTCCTCCTCTCTTGGAAAGACTCAATCAGCTAAGGCTCCTCCTGGGTGGAAACCCTCCCCCCACACAGGGCTTCTGGAAGCCCTCCTGTGATGCCAGTTTCTGCAGTTCTTGGCTTTTAATAGTTGCCTATTCCACACAAATGGAATACACCTAGAAATATCTGCAGCCATAGAGTTTTGTTGTATATATAAACACATGTTACCTAAGGGTTAGGAAATAAGACACTGTCCATATCTGAAATTTAGATAAGGTGCAAGTTGACTTAAGTTCTCAATTAAGCACATATGCTTCCCCCAATATATACGTGGTCAACACCTGAAGACGTTTATGTGCACGAGTTGGGGAAGGGTATAATGTACACAATAACTCTGTAAGTTAAAGCTAACTAAAGGAAACTCAGCAGTGGAATTAGTAAATGTGCTCTAACCTTCTCTAGTAGCTCACTTCTGGGATCCTGGCAATGACGTAAAGCTTTCTTCTTCTATTTTCAAAACAGAAGAAGAAAGCTTTTTTCCTCCCATACTACAGAATTAAGATGGCCAATGAGTGTATCTTGCAGTCAATGTAAGAATTAAGTTGTCAGGCATGGAGGCACACACCTGTAATCCCAGCAGCTCAGGAGGCTGAGGCAGGAGGATCATGTTCAGAGCCAGCCTCAGCAATTTAGTAAGGCCCTAAGCAACTCAGTGAGACCCCGTCTCTAAGTAAAATACAAAAAAGGCCTGAGGCAGGGGCTCTGTGTTAAAGTGCCCCTGGGTTCAATCCCTGCCACCAAAAAAAAAAAAAAAAGAATTATGTTAGTTTCAAATATGGTATTATTTCTTACTGAAAGGAAAAAACAACTAAAGGAAGTGGTTCAAAGTGGAAAAAGTCAACAACATGGTAATAATTGGAAAAAGAGAAGAGAATAAAATGAATTCTTATACCAAGAAACTACAAGCATGTAAGAGGTGACATAAAAAGAAATCTTCCCAAGGTAGATGAAAACAAAGTAGTGAGAAGCCACTCCAGGCAAACTTGAACCAAGTCAAATACAAATAAATTTTACATTTTATAGGAGAGAAAGAAAAAATCTGAGCCTCTTACAATGAAGTAGCTTTAGATATCTTAGCAAGGAAATTATCATTCTTCAAAGAACAATAGGGAAGCAATAAAAATCTGTGGCCTTGTTTGGAAATGCCCAAAATAGACAGAGTTGGATATGGAATGGTAGGACACTAAGGTACCTGGTGGGAGAGCTGTGGCTTTTTTCATAAGGTGAGAAACAGTTACTATTCTCCTGCAAACAAAGGAGAAAGGAAAGCCAGAGGGAATAAGAATTGTGCTGGTTTTCACATCAGATCTTGGACTTGGATTCAGTGTTTCTAATTCCAGCCTCACTAATCTTTCCTCTTACCTTATATCAAGAAAGCCCAGCGGTATCTGCAACATTCCAATTCCATTGTTTTATATTGTGTTTTTCAGACTGTGGTGTCAAAGAAATCCAGTGAGTGGCAAGCACACTTTTTTTTTTTAATGAGGCAAAAAATAGTAAATATCAGAAGGCATTACAGAGTATAGTTAAGTTTTTTTCTGCAACTTTTGTTTAGGTTAACAATATATAAACATACATATGTGGTCACAATATACACTAACATACTGTGGGACACAGTCACTGGGTTAGAAGTAGCAGAAAGCCAGGTTCAGTGGTGCATGCTTTTAATTCTACCAACTCAGGAGGCTGAGGTAGGAGGATCAAAAGTTGAAGGCTAGCCTCAGCAACTTAGCAAGGCCCTGTCTCAAAATAAAAAATAAAAGGGGCTGGGGTATTTAGCTCAGTGATAGAACAGCTTGGGTTCAATCTCAACTGCTAAAAAAAAATAAAAATGAAAGATGGTGACAAATATGACAGATATGACTTCCATGTATTAGTGAGACCATAGGCTACAAGCTCCCCCGGAGGAGAGTTAATGATCTTGGTGAAGCCAAGGTTGCTGTCCCATTTTACAGATGAGAAACTGAACTGCAAGACTCTTGCAGAATCGAGGATCTCCCTGGTCTTTCACTGATGAAACTTGAAAGAGAAGCTCACTCTGGAAAACCAGGCAGCACTTATTCTTATTCTCAGCGGGGCAGGGGTTGGGGTTGGGGTAGTTATCCTTTCTGCAGTACTGCCTTCCCCAGCTCCCATACCTTGCCTGTTCTTAACTAATCATTCTGTAGTTGTTTGTTTATTCCATTTATTCAGCGTCTTCCTTGAGGGCCTACCATGTATCAGGCACTGTTTGAGACACTCAGTGTGCAGTAGTGAACCGGACAATAGGTCCTGCCCTCCTGGGGCTCACTCTCTAGGGGACATCTGTTATATTTTTCTGCTTAACCTTCTCAGCTATATCTAGATGGGCAGCAATATCCAGAGCATAAGGAGACAAACAGTTAAGTAATCCGGGGGCCTTCTGACAGCCAGCAACCATGGGAGTAGTTCTAGGTCTCTGAGATACATGGAGAAGATGACTTGGAGTTGGTTGTCAAATCCATGGTCAGCACAGATGGACAGAATGTTCCAGATGTAGAGTCAGCACATACCACCCCATCAAGATCACCCTTCAAAAGATGACCTTAGTAATTGACTAGCAAGGATGCCCTTTCCTGTGAGAAGTTCCCAGCAAACCCAGCAGCATCCCAGGAAGAAGAGAAAGCCCATGACTTCTGGTGTGAAGGAATAAGCCAAGGATCATCAACCCCGATTTTCCCTGGACAGAACTTTTACACTGTCATCATTGTTCACTGTTGTCACAATCCTGGTTCCAAAATCTGATCGTCTTGTTCTCTACACTGTTTCTTAAAAAATGGTGTTTACCTTATTTAACTTAAGAGAAAAACTATGCATCTGTTTGGAGCCACGTTGTGACAAAGCTGGGTAGGTGACAAGCTGTGGCATGACTCAGCAAGATCCTATGCCTGGACACCTGGAGTTCCACCCAGGAGACTAGTTCTTCTGGAAAAAGCACCCTTTTACCTCTCTCTGGCCCACTTTCAAACCTTCATAGCCTCTGGAAGCTCTCTAGATTAAGCCACACATGTGATTAAGCCACAACATGTGGACATGTTTATGAAAACATTTCCTTTCCTCACTGTGAAAAGAGGGTGTCATTAGTTACCCCCTGCAGCAGAGAGGAGGGGCCACAGGAGTGAGGCCAGTGGAGTGGTGGGAGCATCCTGATGGGAGCTGGGGACCCCTGGCTTCAGGTCTTAACCATGTGGTTTGAATGTAGTCATTGAACATCACAGATTTTCTATACAGTCAACTCAGAATTTGGGGAAATGATGTATTTTATAGTTGCTATGAGGCTTTGATAAGATAATACACAGAAAAGCATCCTACAACAGGTTAGTTTCCTTCTTGTGAATATTTTCAGAAGTTAACCACAATCAGGACCACCAAAAAATACAACTAAGCTGAATCTCAAACATGAAGGAATAGGAATGAGCATTCTTGCACACACTGTAATCATCAAGACAAAACAAATGTTTTCAAGTTCAGCCACCATAAAATAAGGCTAGTTTTGTTTGTTTGCTGTGTGATGACAAATGAGAGCCTCTTGTGTTATATGTCTGAAGTTTGAATTTCAGGTAATGTCTATGCTAGGAAAAAGTATAAAGTATTAATTGACTACCTGCCCACATTGAGTGGTGTGAAACCGCAGGATTCGAGAAGAGCCCAGTTATGGTGAAAAGTAGAAGAGCTAGAGGTGTGGCCAGTGGTGGTGGGCTTGCCCAGCATTCACAGCCCCAGTGTCCCCCCAAAAGAAAATACAAATAAAAAAGTAATAGCCTACCAGTGACAAAAGTCAGCAAGTTAGGTCTTTGTCCAGTTTAATCTTTTAACTGAAGAATTATAAATTCTTAGAAGATGGGACACACCTAACAAATATCTTGGGTATTTATTCTGTGTCTGGCAAAATGCTAGGCAAGTACAGGCGGCTGGAGAGGTGAACGCGTGAATAAACAATTGCTGCCCTTGTGCTGACAGTCTCGGAATCTCTATCTAGTGGAGTGGGCAGAGAGTGGAAGGTTGGAGTAGTTCCATCTGTTCTCTTGGAAGTGCTTTACCTGGCCCACGTATACCAGTCCACTGGCTAGCGTTTTCCTTAGGTTCGTGCCTGTGTTGGCCCACTGCTTATCAATAACTACTAGCTACTTATAACCATTATTGCTTCCCTCAGTGATAATTAAAAAGAAGTTAATTGACAGAGGAGGGCATGACTGACTCACCTGAGCAACATTTGAGAACACCTATTCATTATTCACCTTTTTGTTTCAACACAAATGGATGAAACTCTAGCCTTTCATAAAACATGTAGAGGGTCCCCAGATGGAGCTCAGAGATAGAACAGTTGCTTAGCATGCATAAGGCTCTGGTTTTGATCCCCAGCACCTCCAAATAAAAGGAAAGAAAGAAAGAAATTAATTTTTGTTTTTGTTTCCATTTGATTAGCCATGGATTGTTTGAGAACTTCACCGAGCAATTCCTGGATTTATCCCACTGTAATCCTCTGTTTATTTGGATTTTTCTCCATGATGAGACCCTCAGAACCATTCCTTATCCCATATTTATCTGGACCAAGTAAAAACCTGACCAGCACAGAGGTAAGTTAATACACATATATATCTTAATGGACTTCAGTTTTACAGGACTTGAACAAGGACATAGGTCTCATTTAATTTGAAAACCTCAGTGAGTTCCATTTTCATAGTACTTGTCACACAATAGAGTTATGCTTCCTCCTCACATTTGCAAAACTGGGCAGCCAAGCACATTACCTGTATAATAGTCCTGACATTAGTCTCAATGCATAGGAACCTTTCAGATCTTTATTGACTTCATTATACTTACCCTAAAAAATGTCAATTCTAAGCACAGGCTCTAGTCCTAGTGAACTGGAAGGCTGCTGGGTATAAACAATATCTAATAGAAAATTTAAATATAATTATGCATCACATAACAAAGTCATCGAAGAATCTACATGATGGTGGTCCCATAAGATTGCAACAGAGCTGAAAAGGCTGAAAACTTCCTTTCATCTAGTGATACCATAGCCAATTTAAGTAACAGCACAATGCATTACTCTTGTGATTGTATCAATATGAGTTTCAACAAATCTACCACACTGCCATCCATATAAAAATATAATGTGTATAATTGTGTACCATATATAGTATATGTATTTTTCCTTCCTTCCTTCCTTCCTTCCTTCCTTCCTTCCTTCCTTCCTTCCTTTCTTTTTGCTGTGGATTAAACCCAAGGTGCACTTCCGCTTACCTATATCCCCAGCCCTTTTTCTTAAATTTATTTATTTATTTTTGTAGTTGTAGATGGACATCATGCCTTTATTTGTTTATTTCTGTATGCGGTGCTAAGTCTCAAACCCAGTGCCTCACATATGCTAGGCAAGCACTCCACCACTGAGCCACAGCCATAGCACACCCCCCAGCCCTTTTTTTATTATTTATTGTGAGTGACACTCTCACTAAGTTGCTCAGGGTAGCTTCAAACTTGTGAGAGCACAGGCATGTATGTGATGCCTGGCTATAACAATAATTCTTTTTTTAAAATCTTTATTTATTTTTATGTGGTGCGAGGCAAGCACTCTACCATTGAGCTACAGCCCTAGCCCTAATACTTCTTAATAATAATAAATGACTTCCTGGTTTATGCATTTACCACTTTGTGGTTTTTAATCACTGTTTTAGAATATAGTCCTACTTGTAACAAGACAAGTATGAATAGCATGCCCAGGACCACCAGCAGCAGCCTCATACATCTCTATTGCTTGTGTGTGTTTACATATCTCCTGTTTGCCACCATCTCTTGACCACATCTTTTTCTCTTGAATGTAATTTAATCTCCTGGTGTTTTGTTCATCATGGCCTGGGAGCAATAGGCTATACCATATATACGTCATACTAGGCATGTAGTAATCTATGCCATTTGGGGTTGTGTAAGTACACAAAGAAAATTTCTCAATGAAAAGTGCTCAGTGACGCATTTTTCAGAATATGTCCTCATTGTTAAGTGACACATTCCATATTTCTTTAGGTTGTTATTCAGTTTTAAAACTATTTAGTAGGTATTGCAGTTGTGGCTCAGTGATAGAACACTTGCCTAACTTGTATGAGGTTTTGGGTTCTCTCCTCAGCACCACATAAAAATAAATAAAATAAAGGTATTGAGTCCATGTACAACCAAAAACAATTTTTAAAAAATTATTTAGCAGCAGGTGAGACATTGACAGCTTTCTCTCCCAGCACTCCCTCCTTCCCTAGAAAGCCAAATTCTCTTACTTAAAAGATCTGTCTCACTGGACTTGGGTGGCACATGCCCATAACCCAGCAACCTGGAAGGCTGAAGCAGGAAGATGGCAAGTTCAAAGCCAGCTTCAGCAACTTAGTGAGATCCTAAGTAATTTAGCAGGATCCTGTCTTAAAATAAAAAGAGCTGGGGATGTAGCTCAGTGGTTAAGCTCCCCTGAGTTCCATTCCCAGTACCCTCTCCCCAAAAAGATTCTTTTTCTTTATAATGAATGCAACCAGAAAATGTCCCCACCGGCTAGAAAAGTATCCTGGGCTGGTTTTACCGGCTCCAGCCACAGCCATGAAAACGTTATGGGTGGCTCCACCTAGAGGGCTGATTGGTGGTGAGGTGGCAGGGCTGAAAGGCAAGCCTGTTCTGTAAAATCACTTGGGATAACGGTTTCAGTACTCCAAGCAGTGCAGACAACAAAGGAGCCAGGGATGGTAGTCACACCTGTAATCCCAGTGAGTCATGACACGTAGACAAGAGGATCACAAGTTCAAGGCCAACCTTCTGAATTTAGAGTGACCTCAAAAGTAGTGTGCATCTGGGTTTAATCCCTAATACTAAAAAAAAAAAAAAAAAAAAAAAAAAAGAATTATTTTTTTTAAGACTTGGAAAACCAAAGGGGCAGAGGTAGCTTTTTAACTAATACACTTAACTGTACATATTATTAAAACTTAAATTTACTATAAAATAAAATTCTGATTACCCACTCTCCCAATATATTCTACTGGGATAGTGTAAGTATGTAAGTTAGATAGGATCCCCCCACCTTTCTTTGGTGGAGGGAAAGGTTCTGGTTGTTTTTGGACCCCCATGGGAAAGGGGAATATCTTTTAGAGGTTACCTTAAAAATCTGTTTTCAATCATGTGATTCCACAAGAATATCTGGTGAGCTACGGAAAGTGAGATGCTCACTGCAGGTCCCCTAGAGATGGCCGGGGCTCGTGGTCACGCTGTGTCTCACTTTGCAGATCACCAACGAGATCCTTCCTGTTTGGACCTACTCTTACCTGGTGCTGCTGCTCCCCGTGTTTGTCCTCACTGATTACGTCCGCTACAAGCCGGTCATCATCTTACAGGGGATAAGCTTCATCGTCACCTGGCTGCTGCTCTTGTTTGGCCAAGGAGTGAAGATCATGCAGCTTGTTGAATTTGTCTATGGTCTGGTCTCGGCCACTGAGGTGGCCTACTATGCCTACATCTACAGTGTGGTCAGCCCAGAGCACTACCAGAAGGTGAGCGGCTACTGTCGGAGTGTCACGCTGGTGGCCTACACAGCGGCCTCGGTGCTGGCCCAGCTCCTGGTTTCCCTGGCAAACGTGTCCTACTTCCACCTCAATGTCACCACCTTGGCCTCTGTCTCCGTGGCTTTCTTCTTCTCACTCTTTCTGCCAATGCCCAAGAAGAGCATGTTTTTCCACGCAAAACCCAGCAAACCAGCTTCTCAGAAGACACCAGGACAGACTGCTGTCCTAGAGGAAGCCCATAGAGGTGACGAAGCAGCCCACCAAGAAGCAGGCACCCTTTCCAGGCATGGGGAGGAGAGCCAGCCCAGCAGCCCCAAGCCCAGACATGAGGCTTTGAGGAGCTGCGTGCAGTGGTTCCAGGATCTGCGGGAGTGCTACTCCTCCAAGCGTCTTTTCTACTGGTCCCTGTGGTGGGCTCTTTCCACAGCGGGTTTTAACCAGGTTTTGAACTATGTGCAGATCCTGTGGGATGACAAGGCCTCATCCCAAGATTCCTCCATCTATAATGGAGCAGTAGAAGCTATTGCAACATTTGGAGGTAGGTAAACATCACTTTATCTTCCTTTGATGGGCTACATTTTAAATTCATTTCTCCTAGTACTAAACATTTCCAGAGTGGTAAATAATTAGCTCTGTTCAGAAGCATGCTAATTTTTTTTTTCAAGATTGGAATATTCTGGAAAAATGGGAGTATCATAACCTTTTACTTAATGTTTGGGTATAGGTAAAAGTAATTTGAGATCTCAGACCTTAGAACCAAATAAATTGTTATTGAATTCCTCAGGCTCCATTTCATCATTTGGACAAGTGACGTAGTATTCCCTGTTCTTTCAGAATTGTTTTTAATATCAAAAGGAAAAAGATTTGCCTAAGTAATGAGTGTTTAATTAATCATTTTAGAAAATACATTAAGGTTTCCAAAAATCTCACTGAAAGAGTCTTGTCAATGATCTAACTAGTACTCATCCCAGCAATCCTATACACCACCAATTTTTAAAAGTAGTTTTATGTTGTTTTTTAAAAAAAAAAAATAATAAGACATGGAAGAGGTGTGAGAGTCAAGACTCTAATATCAGAGAGAAATCTGCCTTTGAAGTTTTTTCTACAATAAATATTTACAGCCTTGTAAATGGAAACTTAAATGTCAAATGAGGCTTTGAAGATATTTTTTAGGAAGTGAGGTCTTTCCACACCCTCATTCAAAAAGTTTCAGAAAACTCATGTGGTCTTTGTTTTGTTATTGTCTATCTTTGGGGGGGCTTCAGTGTCACTCCTGAAAACCAAAACTGTGCCCAAATTGGCTCATTGGAATGATTGCTCCTACCTTCCAAATTCTTGGGGGAAATACTCCTTTGTAGATATGGCCCATTCTTAGATAACATATGGGAAAATTAATTCATCAATTTTCAGTCTTTTGAAACTTAAATGCCTTTCACTTTGTTAAGGAGAACCACAATTACTAACCCTAATTACCATCAATTATCCAATCTCTTGACAATTATCCAACCTTCCTGCTGTGAGTAGGAACCTTTTTGGACCCTCTGCCTAGTCTAATACCTGGTATGTTATAGATACTAATTTAAAGTGTATGACAAAGTAACTGGGAAAATAGGAAGTGAAAAGAGAAGAAAACCTGGATGAATAAGGATAGATCTTCATTCAGATAGATCACATAATTTTGGTGAAAGCAATGTATTCATCTTTCAGAATTGCTCAAGAGCTGAGTGTTTGAGGTGTGTTGATGGTTTCTGTGTGCAAAGTCAGTATGTTGATCTTCCCCGTGCTTTGTTTTCAGGGGCCGTGGCTGCCTTCGCAGTGGGTTATGTGAAAATCAACTGGGATCTCCTAGGGGAGATGGCTCTGGCCATCTTCTCCACGTTCAGTGCAGGGTCTCTGCTCCTCATGCA